GCGTTGGTTGGAATGGTGAACCCGGACGACCTCATCCAGCCCGCGTCCAAGCGGGAGAACACCCTCGAGGAATACGATGCCAGCTGCACCGTCCTGCAGGAGGAGGCCCGGGACGGCCGCAACCGGAGGCTCTTCCGGAAGGACACCTACAACGAGCGGGCCGCCGAGGAGGTCTACCTGCCGATCCTGATCGTCCCGGGGGTCGCCTCGAGCGGCCTGTACGTCAAGGAGTCGTGCCTGGACAAGAAATTCGAGGGGGAGCGCCTCTGGATGAACGCGGCCTTTCTGGCAAAGGCACGGCTGAACAACAAGGTCATCAACAAGGACGCGGTGGAGCGATCGAGGGGGGGGTCCTCGAAGAGCCCGCAGCGAAATCCCAAGCCAAGGGCCGAGGCCGAGACCGAGACAAAGACGAATTCCCCGAGGCCGAGGGACAGTGTCTTCAACCCCTTCTCCAGCGAGGGCAAGACCGAGGCCAAGAACAAGCTCAGGGCGATGAACCCCTTTGCGGGAAACGGGACACTCGACGCGGTCACCGAGAAAATCGACGTGGTGTCCGGGGCCCTCTTTGAGATCAAGGACATGGTCAAGGAAGCCGTGCAGGACGAGGGCGACGGGGCAGGCAACGATCAAAACGGCGAGTTCCAAACCAACGGGGACGACGAGGAACACAAGAGTGCCTTTCGAAAGGCCGAGGAAGAAATCGCGATCAAAAACACCTGGATCCAGCACATTGCCCTGGCCAAGAACATGGTCGACGAGAAACCCGGGTACGAAGTGAGGGCCTACGACGGGGTGAGTGAGTGAGGCGGCGCGGGTTTGCGGGTCCCCGTTCCGTGTTGCGTTGTGTTGTGTTGTGTTGTGTGGTGTTGTGTTGTGTTGTGTGTACGGCGTGATGGATCGAGAAGGACGGACGCTCACCCATTGGAATTCGTCGGTCGGTTTGTTTTGCTTTGTTTTGTTTTTGGCCGGTTGAACTGTTGTGTTTGTTGTTGTTCTGCAACAGCTCGCCGGGGTCGAATACCTCGTGGACAGCGCGATCGAGAAAACAGCTGGCTTTGTCATGGGGCCGCTCGTCGAATACTGCACTACGGTCATGGGCTACGAACGACACGTTAGCATCGATGCGATGCCCTATGAGTAAGTKCGACAACTTTTTTGTGTGTGTGGCCCGGCTGGGATTGCAGCGGCGGCCCGGTAGCTGCGGGTGCCGTGCCATCCGGAAGGACGAATCGAACGACACCATTTCCAGGGGTCTCACTCACGGTGGTTTTTGCGTGCCGGTCTGCAACCCTGTCTTTTTTCACTGGCGTTGCGCGTTGCCTTTCGATAGCTGGCGGCTGGCCCCCTCCATCAACGAAAAGCGCGACGGCTACCTGACCAAGATGATCGAACGCATCGAAAAAATGTACAGAGACAACGACGACCTCCCCGTCGTCCTCATCTGCCACTCCATGGGTGCCAAGATGGGGCACTACTTTCTCAACTTTGTCCTCCACGCAAAGGGCAAGGAGGACGGCCGGGCCTGGCTGGACAAGCACATCCACACCTTCATGCCGGTGGGAGCCCCGCACGGAGGGGTCGGCTGCGCGGTCCGCTGCGGCCTCACCGGGGCCGGYCTCAACGAAACCGTCGACACGCTGGTGGGGAACGTCTCGGACGGGCTCATCATGTACAGATCGTGGAGCTGCGGGAACTGGCTCATGCCGAGGATGCTCCCGGCCGGGGTCTTTCCGACGTGCATCGTGCGGAGGGAGGGGGAGCTGGGACTGACCGTCGCCTCGGAGATCGAGGTCACCTCGCTCTTTGCGATGCGGGAAAAGAAACCCAAGGAGCTCCGGCTGACGGTGATCTTTCGCGGGAGGATCCGGGCCCACAGCGATTACTACCCGGTGCTGGTGGACGACGACGAGCGCATGGTCGTCGCCTTCCACGAGAGCTTTTACATGGCCGTCCCGTACCTCGGAAGCGACGACGACGAAACCAGCAACTCGATCGGGGAGCTCGTCTTTTACCTGGAGGAGCCGGCGGGCCGGGTCAACCAGAACAAGTCCGACCTCCACAAGAAGTTCTCCCATGCGACGCGCTGGGCCCGGGGCATAAAGAAAAAGGCCTCCAAGTTCGCCCTGAACTTTGCCAAGCGGTTTGGAACGGTATTGCGGGTGGCGGCATGCGAGAACCCACTGGTGCTCAGCGTCTCGGACTTTGAGGGGGTCGAAACGGACAGAGGCTCGGCTCTGGCAAATTCCGGATCGAGCTCGAACACGACGCTGCTGGCGGGGGACTTTCAGCTGGAAAGCACCATTCCGATGGTGGGCTGCATCCGCCAGAAGGAATCCTCCGACGTCATCGAGTACAGCGATTCCGAGGACGAAGAAGACCACGGAGGCCACCACCAGCACCACCACCACGATCCCTCCGGACACTGCAAGGAGGCCATCGGTTCGATTTCCGTAAGGGTGAGCTACAGCCCCCCGCCGGTGCCGACCGGCTTGGAGCCCTCGGCGGCGCCGATTGCGATGGTCAACGAGGCCACGCCCGATCCACCGATGAAGTGCAAGAAGCACAAGCACAACACGATTTCCCACGAAAAGGTGGTCTACGACGTCTGGAACGGAACCGACGTCTTTCGGGCCGACGGCTTTGTCGAACCCATGTTCGATCTCGTCGAAAACGTCTACGAGGCGGACCCCGTCGGGCCCACGAAAGAATCCTCGATGGACGCGGCGCCCCCCGTGAACTGCCTGCGGTCGATCTACGGGATCAACACCGATACGGAGGCCGGAGCCATCTACCGGAAGGTCCCCATCGTGACGGTCGGGGACAACGAGGCCGATTGCCGGTACACGCTGGACACCTCGGCGACCTTTCCCACGATGAACGAGCTCTTTTACGACAAGGACACCCGGCCCGATCCGTGGTCCAAGAAGCACCTGCACGGCTACAAGCTCGAGGGCGGCATCGTCTACGAGACCCCAAAGACGCTGCAGACGGTCCCCGGCCAGGAGAAGCCCCGCAGGGTCTGCGGCGACGGAACGGTCCCGTACTGGAACATGGTCCACGCCCTGACCTGGAAGGACCGGGTCGGCGAGCTGACCGTCGACGAGCTGGACGGGGCCACCCACCGGGGCATCGTGGCCGACGAGCGGTTCTTTGGCCTCGTCAAGCGATACTGCAGGGTCATCGATCCCCGGGCCAACGCGATGATGCTCATGAAGAAACAGGTCGACAGTGCCGGCAAGGGCATCGGATCGCTCGGGAAGTCCATCGCGGACCGCCTTTGCCTTTCGGGCAAAAGCTGCGAGGCGATCGAGGAATAAGGGCAAGGAACGACGCAACAAACAGCGCGGATGGAAACCCCGGCGCGGCTTCCACGGTGCGGAGGAAAGGGTATACGAAACGAGAAACGACCGGCAGCGAATCCATCGGAACGGAATGCATTGCACGCAGTGAAAAGAAACACGGAATGGCTTCCAGGGTGTGAACGAAACAGAACACGAAAGCAGAAGCATCCAGCAGGCGTGGGAGAAGAAACTTTGAAACCAGAAAGTACGGCAGCGCTTTCGACGGATCGGAATGACCAAACACCGCGATGCGGTGTGTTTGGCGAACGGATTGGATTGGATTCGTTCCGGAGCAAGAAGTTTCGTATTCCGCACGGCCGGCAACGCGGGTGGCTGCTCTCGCGGTGGTGGTGCAACGCGGTGTGCCCTGCGGTTGCAACTCGTTGGCTTGCGTGCCTCCCGGTCCGCCTCCAGAGCGGTGTGGTATGATGTGGTGYGGTATGCTCCACCGCCAAGAACCTTTTGGAACGATGTGCCGGTATGCTCCGCTCTCGAACGAGATGTTGGCCTGCATCGACGCSCGTAGTTGTGGAATGTGTAGGTTTGGAGCCATGGAAGTCTCGCACCGAGCTACGATGCCATAGCTAGGCTAGGTATACTTTTAGAACAATGTCTTGGCTGGCACCGGCGCCTCGAGTTCTGTGTATCTATGGATATGTATATAGTTACGTGCGCGTGTATATATTTAGATCTGTAGGCATGCACGCGCAAGCCTCGATGCCCCGTGCACCGGGCCACGGCACCGTGCCATGGCTGGCAAAACGCGGAGGCGTGCATCGTTTCGTTTCTCGGGTGCCCCGCCCGCATGGCACTACTCGGCGTGGTGCACGACACGATTGCGCTGCGTTGTGTTGCGTTGTGTTGCGTCAGACGGCCGGTGGCGGGGCGGGGCCCTCGCTGTCGTCGTCGTCGTCGTCATTGTTGTTGTCTGTGGGGACGGGGGGTTCCGGGCCTTGCTTCTGCTCCTCGTTGTTTCCGTTGCCGTTTTCGTTGTCCGTGCGTTCCTTCGCCGCCMGTTGTTCCTCCTCTAGTTTTCGCTTCATCACTTCCAGAAACGATCCGTCGGTGGGAATGGCCATGGGCATCTCCGGTTTGTCCTCCGGTGCTCGCTGCAATTGCCCCGCATCCGTTTCCTTAGCCTTCTCCTCTATCCGCCTCTGCTCCGCCAGGGGAACGTACGTGAATTCTTCGTCGTCTATGCTGCTGTTGTTGTTGTTGTTGTTGTTGCTATTGTGGTTCGTGCCGGCACTCCCACCGACACCGTCCCGGTCCGTCCCGATCCCCGCCGCCCTCAGGTGCTTCTTGCGCTTTCTGGCGTCCTTTTCCCGCTGTCGCTTCCGGCGGTTCTTCTCGGCCCTGCGCTCGACGGTGGCCCGGTCGGCCTCCAGCGAGGCCCGAAAGYCCKCCTCCTCGGCCCGCCTGGATGCCTCCGCGTCAAGGGCGTTCCACCGGGCGGTCTCCCGGGCCCTCGCGTGGCGGTAGACGTGAAACTCGCCGGACCCGGCACCGCTCGTCGATCCGTACGGGTTCACGACCTTTTCCGTGACGAGCCGCTCGTTGTTGTTGTTGTTGTTGTTGTTGTTGTTGTTGTTCCTGCCTTTGTCGTCCCTGTTGTTCTTGTCCTTGTCCTGGATGCTTCCTTCGCCGCCTCCAACCGATGCCGACGCCCCCCTGGCCTGATCGTACGTGATCGTTCGGTTGCTGGAGTGGTTGTCGGAAATGATCTGGACGGAGGTAAAACGACCCATGGTTGGTGTGTGTTTTGTTCTTTCTGATGGTGGCAAGAAACGTTTGCTGACAGCTGYGGTGGGGTGCGGTGGGGTGAGTTGAGTAGCGATGCGGTGAGGTTCTCGAAGCAGTGTTGGCTCCGAAAGGATGGGATGCAATGGGATGCAATGGGATGCGATGACTTGAAAAGAGGGGGGAACGAAAAAGTACTACCGTACTTGTACCAAGTCAAGTACGAGTATCGTACGAAGTAATACAAGTACAGGTATGCACTCCCCCGGAGGAGGCTAGATGGGTTTCCGTGGTTGCTGGTTGCAGACCGGCGATGCCCCTACCGTACGGTACTGCAGTAYATGTACCATTCCGTATATAAGCCCCAAACCTAAAATAATGCCCTCGTAATTCGCAGTAATCTTTCCTCACAAGCCAGCGTCCCACACATTCCCTCCGTCACAACAAAACAGTAACAATTCAAGTCCTGTAACATACCGTACTTCGTATCAATTATTCCTCTCACCGAAGCAGAACCAAGCAGGGATTGTTACGGTTTCCCCCCCCAGCAACGACTCGAAACACAAACCTCTAAGATTGATTTGTGAGGGAAAATGATCAAAATAGCTTTTAAAACAATGTAGAGAAAAAATTGCATTTTCTATTCTGTTCTGTTCTATTCTATTCTTTGTTTCTACTTGTACATCGTTAGTCCTGTCCTGCGAGAAGGGGAGAGGCCGTCGTTGTTTTGATTTTTTGGGTGCCTTTCTCGGGATTTGCGCATCYCGTCGCGACACCGTCCAAGGACTAGTAAGACGAGCTGTTTGTGCTGCTGCTGCTTTCTGCTGTCGTCGCCAGAGTGGTCGATTCCACAGTGCTTGTACTTGTGGTTGTTGCCAGTGGCGGATCGATGCCCAGCAGAAACCGGATTTGGTTTTCGTCCTCTATTCCACTGGCGTTCTCCTCGGGGTCGGCGGAACGTTCGTTCGATTGGGATTGGTCCGTGCTTTTGCCATCTGTGCCATCGTCTTCGTCTTTGCATTCGTCGTTCTGCCTCAATGGTGCATAGACGGTCTTTTCCTCCTCCGGAGAGTGGGCCGTGGCCCTCCGCCGCCATTCGAGCAGGCGGGATTCGACCGACACCGGGGTGTAGTAGACCTTGCAGTGCACTTCTCTTGTTTGGCCATACCTGTGGAGCCTGGCATAGGCCTGTTTCTCTTCCTCGTGCTTGCGAAAGGGTTCCAWGATGAACATCTTCGAGGCAGCGGTTAGCGTCAATCCACAGGCAGCCGCCCCGGCCTGAACGATTAGGACCATCGGGTTTTTGGACCCGTTCGAGTCTTCCCAGTCCGAAATGGCGCACTCGCTTTGTTCTTCCGACTGGCCGACAAACAAGGTTTTGCTTGTGAAACCCTTCGTCTCGAGGACGCGTTTGAGGTGCAGCACGATGGACTTGGAGGAAGCGAACACCACACTCAGTTCGTTTCTTGGCAAATCGGACAGCAGTGCACGGAACTTGCTGGAAAGGTTGCACTCGTTGCTCCCTTTGGACACGGCACCAGCAGGAAAATTTGGGGGAGCCCCCAGTGGCATCGAGCCCCGGAGGAAATGCCGCAAGTGAGCCAGAAACAAACCTGGTATGGCGGTAAAGGATTCGTCGAGGTCCTGGTCAATGCCGGGAGGGAGATCGATTACCAGGTACAGAGCTTCCCACAAATGCGGTTTGAGCTTCCCAAAGTTTTCTTCTAGCATCTTCGCTGCCTGTTTTACCAGTGCTCGTGCCTTTTGCTTGCTATCCATCAAGTGGTCCTGATCAACTTTTTTCGGATCGACGCAAATCAATTGGTTGCGAGTGATTCGTTTCCGGCACTCAATACAGGAAATCGTGGACCCCTGCCTTTCTTTTTGGTTGATCCAATGGTTCAGGCAACATTTACAGCTCAAGTGGCCACACCTCGTTAGATAAACTTTCCCATGGCTGCCATCGCCATTTCCTAGARYGTCGTAACAGATCGGGCAGTTGGTCTTCTCTGTATCTCCTTTCTTCAGAGCCTGAAGAACCTCAAACGTGTTTAGGTTTACGACTGTTGTTCTGTTAGTATTCATTGCGATCTTGCCTTCTATCGATTGTATTGTTTTCGTTTCCCGGTGTATAATGGATGTGTGCTCGGCAAGATCGGCAGTGGAAGCCTCGATCTGAGCAGCAACGGCATTTTCCAGGGAGGCACACGACTTGGGACCAGCACCCCGAAWCGTTCCAAAGGCACGCGAGCACAAAATGTGTCCCGTCCGGTGGTGTTCCCTAGCCATGACACATAACCCCATTTTGGCCCGTTCATGAGCCGCCTTGGCTTTGGTTAGATTTCGCTCGTTCTGGGTGGAAGGGTGGACGATTCTCATCGCTTCTGCGTCTTCGACTTTTTTCTTGGTGGTCGCAATCKCCTCCTCGATGCAGGGGATCACTACGGCCTGAATTCGGGGCAGCCTTGTTCCGTTGACGCGCTTGGAAAGGTTTTCGAACCATTCAAATTTTTTTCTATTTGGAAAGTGTACGATTGCCTCCCATGTTTGGGTATCCTTCGATTCTCGAAGCCGAAAAATTGCGATCGGGGCTTGCTTGGATGCTGTTGCCGCTGCCGCTGCGAAGGATGTCGCAGGTGGTGCCAGAATATCCTCGATGCATTTCTGTAGCTGATCCATGGAAACTTGGATCGGAATGTGGGAAAAGATAAACGAGAAAGGATGGGCCCAACGAAATTCAGGGTGACTCTCATATATGAAGGAGAGTTTTTCCTCTCGCTCTTTCTGCGGCTTGCTTCGGCCTTTACCAGTACTATTACCAACGTTCCTACCATTGCTGGTGCGTTCCCTCCCTCCGTCGGAGTCGATGCTCGGTGGAACACGACAGAAAAACTTTGGGGTTGGCCGAAAGCCCCTGCACAGAGAGGCCATTGTTGCCGTGCCACCGCCTGCTTTGCGACGCGGTGTGTTTGTCGCACAGTTGTTTCTCCGCCACGTCCAAACCGAAACCATCGATGGCGAGAGGACGGCTTTGTGCTGACAAAATTCTAGGGCTCGACCCGTGGTCACCCCCTCTAGCGCCCAGTGCCAGCGCGCACGGGCCCGGCTCGATCTCGCGGCCCGGCAGATCTCGGTGGATCGGGCAATCTGTTCCTTGGAGGCCTCGAGTTTTTCCCGCGGATCGATCAGGAGGGCCCGGTTCCGCCGGCTGATCCCGGCCCCGCCTCCGACGCGCTGGTCGGTAACAAAATCGGAATCGGTCCGGGCCGCATCCTCCACCTGGGATAGAAACTGAACGGCCTCGTCGCAGGAATACAATCGGTGCAACCCCTCGTGTTGTGCAGTTTTGCCAGATGTTTTCTTTGGTTCCAGGGCAAGCAGGGTTCCGTCCTCGAGTCGTTTTCTATTGTACTCTTTCATGAGGCGGTTCAGATCCTTGAGCTGTGACGTGCAGTCGAGGCCACCATTGAGGAGGTAGGGAGACACACAGAGTTGTCTCAGGAGACGGAGAAACAGGCTTCGGTGGCTCATCCGCTTCTTTTGCATTGCAGAAGCCACTCGCTCACCTGCGGCCTCTCTGGCCRCATCTCTAGCGCTGCGGGCCAGAGTCGTATGCATCACCGATTCTAGGAAGCAATACAGGGCCCGCTCGGGGGGATCCTGGGGGACGGGTTCAAATTCCAGAGTCAGGTTCTTGAGGCCAAGCAGAGGAAGCCCACTCTCCAGGATGGTCATGGACTTGGTCCTCCGCAGGACTATCAGCGCGAGAATCCTCAGGATTTSAAGACCGTGCTTGCTACGGGCTTCCCAGTGGTTTCCAATGGCAAAGTCGAAAAACCCATCCTCGTTGCTGGCTGCAAATGGTTCGAGGCCCAAAAAGCAGAGCTCCCCCTTGAAATCTTCGATGCCCTCCCAGAGCGGGGTTCCCGAAAGCATCCATCGCCGATCGCTCATGAGTTGCTGGCACTGCTTGCTTGCCACKGTGTTCCACGACCGGATTTCTTGCATCTCGTCCAGGATGATTCGTCCCCAGGCCGTCGACGATAGGACTTCAGAAACTTGGTTTGCCTTCCTWGATGACTTTCTCTTCTTTCCACCTTCTAGAGACTGGTAGGTCGTAAGAACAACGTCCGCAGCAAGATCGAGTTCTAGTTGTTGGCCASTGTCGGTATCATCGATTGGAGCTTCCTTGTGGTCCAGAAACTGCACCCTGAKATTGGATCCCGCTATTTTATGGATTTCGTTCCGCCACTGACCGACCAGGGCCGGCGGAACAATGATCAGTGTGGCGTGGGAGTGAACAAGAATGCGATGGCCATTCTTGGTGTCACCGGTACATAGTACTGCTTCCCTTGCTTCCAGCATTTCTTTTTCCCGTTTCAGTTCCSCCAGGGTGGCGAGCACCAGTGCCACCGCTTGGACGGTTTTCCCGAGCCCCATTTCGTCCGCGAGTATCCCACCCCGCGGGCTCCTGTGTTGCCTCCAAGCCGCGGTATCAGCTGGGGCTGCACTCCGTGTGCCAGAGCTAGGGCTGCTTCCAAGGGTCAACCGCGCCTGCCCCAGAGCCGGTGAATAGTAAAAGACATCGCCCTCTTGGAATCTGCGCCGCTCCCACAGCAGTCCGTTCAGTCCCAGAGACGGATTGTGGCCCTGGCTTGTGGCTTTCGTGAGCTTGGTTGTCTCCGAATCGCGATTCATGCCGATTGCATGGGTTTCCTCCTCCACACCGAGGTGCTCCATCTGGTACATCCAAGACACTCCGTGGACCTGGTGGGGAAGCAAGGATACACGGAGCAGGGGATCGCCATTGTTGTTGTTGTTACCGTTCTTGCTTCCCCCATACAAAACTGGCTCGATTGTTGTCTGGTACACGCCGTCCTCGCCATCGGCTCCGGCTACCCCCTGGTTTTCGATGAGCTTCAAAAACCCTTCCGTCGAAAATGCGTCCAGGGTGTCGTTGGTTCTTGTCCGGCCCTGGTTCCCGTCCTCGAGATCGACAACGGAGGATTCGTCTCCCGTTTCGTACGAGTCGTGTTCCTGGTCGGCAATGATTTCCACCTTGGTGTTGGGGTCTTTCCCAAAGACAATTGGTCCAACAGCCGGAGATTTCTCCATAGGCCGCAGGATTGAGTGGAACCCCAAAAAAGTGTTTTCGCTGGCAGCAGATTCTTCACTGTCTAGGGCGGCCATGACCGTCTGTAGAGCACCTGTTGTCATGCACTCAAAGAGGAGGCGGTGGGCGTACATAGCAATTGTAAGTTTCCAGGGGCTCCTGTTCGAGTATTCGGGGTTGCCGACACCGRCTCGATCGATGACTTCCCCACCGTGGTAATCCAGGAGCGGCTCTAGCACCGGGACCGCCACCACCAGCGGAAGATTGTACAAGAGACGGTCGGGCTTGGCCAGTGCCTCGAGGGCTCTCAGCACGCTGGGGGTATCGACAGGGATTCGGAGGTGGTAGAGTTTCTGGAAGGCACCCTCGTTGGCAAACCGGGGATCGTCCCTCCAAAGGCAGCTGGGATGCTCCAGCRTTTCTCGAATGGCAGTTATGGAATCGGTCCGGCAATGGTTGTGGCTGTTTGCTCGTGGATTGGAACAAGGATCCTCCCCCACGTCCTCCTTTCGAATAGGAAGCCTGGGAAGGAAGCCGAGTCGGTTCCAGTTGGGAGAAAGGACCCCGCTCTGCTGCAGGCTTTCCTTCCAGTCCCGAACGATCGCTCTGGACCGCTGCTCGATGGACTGGCTGTCGTGGTGGTTTGGTTGTATGGAATGGCCCTCGAGCAGTTCACGCCTCGCCTCCTTTCTTGCCGTGGCCATGGTTGGAGCTGCCGCCAACTTGGTGGAATTCCACGTGTGTGTCCGGTCCGTGTCGCGGACGAAATCGTGTTTCGCACCCGCACCCGCACCCGCACCCCACCGTGTGTGTTCCCCGGGAAGCCAGAGAATCCGCGTGATCCTCCCGAGCTTGCGGCCGAGGTGTCCCGGAACGCTCCCCTTCGAAGCATAGGCGGCCCCCAGCGGGGACGACCACAGTTTGGTTTCCTTCCGGGACAGCGGCCCAACCGCGATGTTGGTGGGACCGGAATCGTGCTCCGGGGGAGCAAAGGGTGCGGCCTGTTGACGAACAGGGGAGCACGCCTTGTGGCTGCCGGTGCTTCGAGCGATCCGCAGATTGCAGMGGTCAAGAGCCCGGTCGTCGAAATAATACCGCTGCTGTGCAAACCCGGAGGGAAACGCGGGGGATTGCTTTGCGGCGATCCGCTTGCGGCGCTTGGTCGGTGGCTTTCCGCGAGTGGAACCGCGCTCGCTGCCCTTGGCGCCTGCCGCGGGTCGCTTGCCCCCTGGTTTTTGTTTTGCCATCGTCTTCTTCTATTCTATTCTATTCTATCGCTACAATACGGTGTTGAGTTTCGGGGGGCGGATTCGTGCATCCGATGCAGGTCTCGTTCTGAATCGATCGGTAGGTTTTGGATCGGCTGACCAATGGGTTTGTTTTCTATTCTGTTTTATTCCATGCCATGGTATAGAGACAGATCGAGAAGTACAATGAAGTGGCAGAAGAATATTACTGAATTCATGGTCTCGATCCATGCRATGCAGGACTGCTGACTTATGATGTTGGACTTTTTGAGATTGAGAATTWACCAAGTTTTCCGTGTGAGGAAATTCTGGGTTTTAGTCAAAACGGTCGAATGACGTCTTTCGCGGTGCGCGGCAAGGCAGGGAAGTCGAAACCAATTTGATTGTACAGTTCATACTCTTGTACGGTATGGTACGTAAGGTACGAGTTACCCCTCGTACGTGCAATTGGTCCATTTTCCTCGAAGCCGTTCATTTTTCATTTTGAGTATCTTCTGTTTTGTACTAGTTTTAGATGTCAATCTCGTTTGGTATCGTACCGTACGAGTTCCGTACGAGCACATCATTACAATTACAACCCACAATACCCAACGAAAATATCTACAGGATGCCAAAACGCAATCGGACGACCAGCGAGAAGGATACCGAAGAGGAAAAGTGCTCGACCAAGCGAGTCGATACCCAAATTGACGATCATGACGAGGAAGAAGACAAGGAGGAAGACTACGACGAGGAGGAGGACGACGACGATGTAGAAGCCGATGGTTTGGGGAATTGCTTTGTCGCGTGGCTAGAAGAAGGCGCCACGTGTSTCTCGGTGGGAGAGCTCCACTTTTCCAACCAAGAACACGTTCTCACGTATGCCGAGGAAGACGAAAACCAGGATGCGGATGGAAATGCGAACGCAAATGCGAAGGAAACCCTGTACTGTGTGGTTTGCCAGCTCCACCTCATGCCCCCCGCCGAAGACGAGGAAGACGACGAGGCCCCCCTGGTGTACAGCTTCGAGGGCAGCGGCGCCTTTCCCTTCAGGGTTCTACCGGCGGAGGCATGCGTGGGGATCGAGCTCGAGCCGGTGCAGCTTCCGGCCCTCGAGGCCAAAGGGGGTGGCGAGAACGACCAAACGAATGATTCCGTGGCCACGACCTTTTCCCTCGCCGAGAACCTCCACCAGGCCTTGCTGGAGGATCTCCGGGGTTCCGATAGCAACTACGAGGAGGTTCCTTCCGAATGGCGATTGCCACTACCAAAAGACGCTTCCGCTGCCATCGACGGAGTCAATGCCTGGTGGAAGGCCGGAGAAGCCAAGACGGGTTGGGATCTCTCCAGGATCCCCGAGGCCGATTATGCAACCACCGAGACCCTGGCGTGCAACGGCACCGAAGACGACAACGTCTTGCTGGCCCTGTACCGGGACCTCTGTGCCTTTCGGCCCCTCACCGAAAAGGACGACCGTGACACCATCGAGGAGCGCTTCGAGCTCCGGACCTGCCTCTGCACCTACTTTGCCTGGGCGGTTCCTACCGAAAATGCTCTGCAATGCCTGGTGGAACTGGGGGTCCCACTCCTCGAGATAGGGGCCGGAACGGGCTACTGGGCCTGGCTTTTGTCGAAGAGGGGCGTGGACATTGCTGCCTACGACCTCCCGGACAGCCAGGGTGGTCAGAAACACCGCTTCCGGCACTCCATCGTCAAGGATGGCTCCATCGAGCAGGCGTCTTCTCCCGAACACAAAAGCAGGGCGCTCCTGCTGTGCTGGCCGGACATTGTTGGCGACAGTGCCCACGACGACGCCGACCGGGGGGATTTCGGAGCAAAGGCACTGAGGGCCTTTGGGGGAAGCACCGTTGTGCACGTGGGAGAGCTCGGACCGGGGGTCGTCCGCGCGGCCGAGGGATGGGGGGATCCCTTTCCACCGGGGGGATCGTCCTCGTCGGCGGCCCTGCAGGACGAGCTAAGGGCCGGCTTTCGACTCTCCAAGCGTGTGCTGCTTCCAAACTGGCCCCCGTACAACTCTCATCTCACCGTGTGGGTGCGCAAGTGACGCAGAAACACAGAATAGTGTACCACTGTAGTAGAAAGACAAACGAAAGGGTTCTCGCAGTTTTTTTTTTCGACATTCTTTTGTTCATTCCGTTGTCTATTTCTTTGTCCATGTCTTTGTTTGCGCCTGCAATGATCTCCTTCGCCCCGTGTGTCCTCGTCGAGTTCCTTTTTTGTCGCGTCAATTCGCGAAGCTATAATATTCAGCATTGTTGCCGACTTCGTCACGTCATCTGTAGTGAGCCGGGGTCCCTCCCTAAATGCAGTGCGAAATGCTCATATGCTCCTTAGTGTACCGTAGTAATTCCAGCGAGAAAAACGCCCGACTACGACAGTGAATCAAAAGATCCCATTGACTATCGATACGTAGAGGACGACAATCTAGACGAAATCTCAAAGATCAAAACAAAAATAATGAATTATCAATGTCACAATCCATAGCTTACGATTGTTTTTATTCCGATAAATAGAAAATTTATAATGTAATGTATTCATATCGATTACTCGTGCTGTGCATGTTGTGCAACGCATTGAATTGCTTGGTTCGTTCCCCTTGTATTCGAAAACGAAACCTTGTTCTCAAAATTTGGTGGATTGACCACTGTTTATGCCGACGCAAAGAAGGGGCATCCGGTAGCCAGCTGCGATCCAAAGACCTCGCAGACGACCTTCTTGGCCCCCCGGGAGAGCAACTCCGCCTGGACGTCCTCCATCCAAGACTCGGGGCCACAGATGAAGAATTCGTGGTCCTTGCCGACCTTGTCGATGGTTTCCTGGGCCAGGTCGGACGCCTTGGGCCGGCCCGTGGCGGAAGTGTACTTGAAGAGGGTTTCGGCACCGGACTCCTCAAAGAATGCCTTGTAGGGGTGGGTTTCCTCGGCGCGGTCGACGTGAACGACGAGCTTCACGCGGTCGCCGAGGACGCGCTGGAAGTTGACCATCGGCGTGACTCCGATTCCTGCGGACAAAAGGACAGCCGAGGTTTCTGCCTCTTCCGGGATCGTAAAGACACCGACGGGAGGGGAGAGGGTGATCTTGTCGCCGACCTTTAGGTTGTCGTGGACGTAGGTCGAGACCTTTCCCCCCCCGATCTTCTTGATGGTGCACTGCAAATAATCGGCACCGACGGGCGACGTGCAGGTGTAGTGTCGGGGGGCCGTTAGGTTGTCCCCATCGATGTCGATCTGTAGCGAGAGGTACTGTCCACCGGTGAAATCAAATTTCTTTCCTTCCAACGGAGATCCGGAGGGGGGTTTGAACGAAACCTGCTTGACGGAATCGGTCAGGGCATTGATTTCGGAAACCTCAAACTCGGCAAAGCCCGACCATCCGCCCTCGCGCTGCTCGAGTGCCTTGTAGAGGCCTTCCTCCGTATCGATAAAGGCCTTGGCCAAGAAGAGGACGGCCTCCGACCAGGCGGAAGCAATCTCGGGGGTGACAATGTCCCCGAGGATCTCGCCAATCGCCGCCATGAGCTTTTCGTGCACCACGACGTACTGCATTGGGTGAACGCCCAGGGCGACGTGGCGGTGGGCAATGGCCTGGACCGGTCCACCCGGGACCAAGAGCGGCGAGAGGTCGGTGATATTCGTGGCGTAGGCGATGGCCGATGCGGCCAGGGCCTTGGGCTGGTTCTCCGATTTTGGGACGTTGTGCTGATAGTTGTTGTCGTCGTTTCGATCGAAAGGATTTCAATCCGAACCCGAGTTTGTTCCGATCAGAACACGCAGCCGATGGGTTTGTTTCACGAGTTTCGTTTGAAAACGCAAGTGTCGTCACGAACAGAGATGGCAATTGTGTTAGCGACATAGGACGATGCAATGGAATTATATAATACGACGCGGTGCACATCACGGCAGACCAAAATACTAGCAACGGTTCATAGGCATTTCCGTGTTGTTCGTATCCGACTTTGTAAGCAGATCAACTCGTTCTTAGGGTGCCGAAAAAAATCGATTGGGTTGGATTCTTACCGCCGGATTAAAAAATTGAAGCAATTCAGGGTGGCTGCCGAGGATCTTTTCGTAGAAGCACTTGGTGATGTCGAGCATCTTCGGCGCAACAGCGGGTGCCGTGGCGACAATCATGTCGATGGTCTCCTGCGACATGGCTTCGGGGAGTCCCATTCCCTCACTGGACCGCTTGTTGGTCAGGTTGGTGATGATTCCGTCCACGGCCTTGGCAGCATTTGGGTAGGACGTGGCAGCGGCACCCGAGAAGGGGCACTTGGATGCGGTGGTGGACGCACCGGAAACGGGGCACTTTGATTCTGTCATGATTGATCTTTGCTGGTGGGGTGATACTATAATAGACAGCGGACAAGATGGTGTTCGGTTTTGTCTTCGGTCTTTGTTTTTCGAGACTAGGATTTTAYGGAAGTTTTGTGAGTACAAGTATGGTCCCGTACGGTTCTACGTTACTGAACGGGTTCCCGGGTAGAAAATACCGAACCATTTTATGAATGAATGTACTTGAGGAAGTACTAATTCTTTACCGGTAAGTCCCCGTTAGTACGGGAACTGATACGTACTACTACTTCCTTTAGTAATGCAAGGGGAAACAATTAGTAGTATCAATTAATGATGACCGTTATCAGGTGCCCTGGGTTCGTGAGCGATAGGAGAAGATGCGAGTGCGCACTCACAAGGTGCATGCTGCATGTAGATCAATTTCGAAGATCTTCTGGAAGAATGAGACAAACACGTTATCCGTGGTAATGATGTACGGTATGGTATTCATCAAGGGTTCCCGCAAACCTAACTGAATCGTATTGGTATTGGGTTTTGGGATTGAATCAATTATCAATTACCCTGGACCGTAGAAACACTTTCTCTGACGTTTTTCTCCTCGGATAACTGCAAGTAGTTGTGCGGTTTGTTTTGGGGATTTTACGTACCGGTATGGTGAGCCTGCGTTATTGGATTGAACATAAAACTTCCGGAAGCTCTATGAACAGAAYTTCGTCCCCGTAGGCACGAGTCCAGATGTAGGCTCATTTTTCTTTCTCATCGGCATACTTCTCACACCGGAACAAGTATTAGTACGTACTCTTACATTGTTCAACCTTAGCGTAACGAGGAAGGGGCGGGAGGTAGTCTCATTTTTTAATGGTACCACGTACGTTATGGGAAAGAATCCTAAATTGTATGTACAAGTTGTACTGGTACCGTAACTCGTACCGTACAGAATGTTGGAAAATTTTACTCCGTTCACAACGCACCGTCACAAATTCCCTCAGTGCCATGAACGAGTGAAAAGGGGATTTTGGTTGGGCGCCATCGCATGATACAGTAAATGAATGAAAGAATTCAACCAATACTGTAATATTCGTTCTCTTCTAAATACTGTAGTTGATAAAGTAAATTCATTCAATGACGTACCGGTACCTCATCGTGTACCGTACGGTACAGTGCCATACTTGTGAGAACTGAATTGTACTTCTAAAAGGTTCTTCCTCCGGTCCCCTATGAGTGTCCAGTTTGCACCTTTTCTACTGATTTGTATTATACTTCTGTGATAAAACCACTTCTTCTGAAGTGTTTCGAACAATCTATTGCTCCGTGAATGCTCGTTCTGTCACTGCTCTGGCTTGATGAGGAAGAAGTAGTCCACATTTTCAGTGGTGCAATGGAATGGGACGAACTTTATTTCTAAATTTGACTTCGACTCACGAAAAAAATCCCCAACAACTCCCGACGGCTTCTAGTATTCATGAACGAACCGGGAAGCCAATTAAAGTTACTTTGTGACTCAAAACCAAGACATCACATCAATGCGATATAGTTGGAATTTAATGTAATATTCATAATCTCGTACCTATGATGAATTCGTGCTCGTATTGTGATAGAGATATGAGTGGAAGAAACCATGAAGTTAAAGTAGTCCCTCGATCAATTACTATTGTATATTTGTGCTTTTAACCAAGTCGATTGAAAGCAAACTAATTATCGTCAATCAAGACATCTTTCATCCTATTTGCGACGCAGTTCAAGGTTATGCAAATGATATTAATTGTGTTTCAAAAACTCTTTCATGGCGTTCAGCCGCTTTCCGGTATCGTTTTGGCAGCGATTTTTCTGTCCGAATTGATGAGAACCTCAGACAAGATGTGAATCGTAAGAATCATATTGGTGCGCATGTTTTTGTTCCGTACGGAGTGCTTCTCCTTTACTTGCAACTACCTATTGCACACGCAATGTGAATTTTCCAAGTGACGTTTCTTCTCTTTTTACTCTTGCAGCCAACCCAGCGCCGCCGGTCTGATTCCACCGTCTATGCTGAAAAAATCGCAATAGCTTTTATTGGCAGTGGGGGACGCAGTCGCCTCTTCTAGTCGCCTTCGTTTTTTCTCCTGTTGAAAGACAAATGTGCTGCTGTTGCTGATTTGTGTTCTACCTTTGTTCTTTTTTTTGTAGTCCCGATATGAAACAGATACCTTGAATTGCATCTGTGCGGGATCAGTAAGTTTTGTCCACCATCCTCGCTTGTCCCAAACCAAAATCCTCCCCTTCTTTTTGAGGATCAACGCAACGATTTCTTTCGAAGCGGCCGTAACGCCAAGGCCTTGTTCGTGGTAGTACTCGATCAGACTCTGAAATTTGACGTTTCCCGGATGCCCCTTGATCAATTTACTGGGTCGGAAAAGAACATCGTTAGAACCGGGGCACTCGATGATGTTGACTGCCCCGTCCCTACCCTCCTCTATAGTGCTGCGCAACTTCATCCATACCTTCAGGTTCTGAGTCTTCACGTTTCCAGTTTCTGTGAGAGGAATATGATCTACCGGAATGCCGTAGCCTTTCACCAAGTATTGCAATTCTACCGGATGCCCTGCGGTAGAATGAAAACAGTTGGAGACGGAAGTGGGCGTTAGTAATATCTCCTTTTCAAAAACGGTATCCTGGCGTTAATGTATTGCAACGTCTTAATATTGTCGAGTAGGGTGGAAAACTTACCCACGTGGAACTTCAGTCTACATCGCTTTCTCGCATCCAGAGTCAACGTGAAAATCATTCTCAACATGTGAGAGAGGGGATTGTCGGGAACGCAAAAATGAAAGGAACACGTTCTAACAGGAGTGCCTCTAAGGCGTTCTTTTTGCACTTGTACCAATCGTTCTCTGTTTTTCATATGTTGTATCGCAACATCCGACACTGGCCATATAATTACAACGAAGCCTTTCAATTGAGTCTCTAAATCTTGTCCTCCTACCCATAGTAGATAGAATAAAATTTTGAACTTTTCAATAGAACCCAACATACGAAATTGAAGTCGAGAAAGAACACGGAGAAAATTCGTTGAGGAAAAGGAAAGAATAAGTCAGAAATAGCTCCCACTGCACTCTAGACAACCGACGTAAAGCAGACAATATACCACGATAACATAGCAACATACCCTCAAATCGGCATCAAATTGGATGGCAAGCCCTTCTACGCCAGCGATAATTCTCCTTCCACTTCTATCACGAAAGGGCAGCAACTGCAAATTGCCAGTCCGAAACGTATGCAATTCAGGTTCTGTGAAATCCGACAAGCGTATCGGTCGTTGCAGAGCGTATTCTCCAAACAAATCACATACAACATGCAAAAATGCAACCATTTTCGATGCGGCCATACGAGCATCGAACAATTCTGCTCGAAGGAATCTTAGTCGGAATTCTTTGTCGTTGACGTAGGATCCTCCTTCTTCGCTACTATTTTTCCGACCGAACCTAGACTGACTCAAACTATACATTTCCTTCTCGCTTCCTGGGATCAAACGGAGTTCCTTGTCGAGTTTTTCAATGGATTCGGCTATTAGTTCGGGTGTTTCCGCCGGCGAACAGCACAAGACTCCGTGCACTTCTTCGTTGATCTTGTTCCTATCATGAAAGGACAACGACAAGAATTCTTGCGCCAGCATGTTGTCGATCGAAGTCGGATCTACGGTTGAGGGGTCTCTAGTGCTATTCATCTTGTTCTGATCAAGCGACGTGGTATGTTCAAAACTGGTGCTCATCGTATTGGGAATCTGCTATGTTGTATTAGTTTGTGAGATCGACGAAATGAGATSATGTTGAAAGTGTCGCATGTCAAGAGTRATGACATCCAAAAGCCACATAGGAAACGTATTTTTCATCATCCATCAATGTTAAATAAATCTGTTGGGTATGGTTCTTAGTATTTTCGACAATGGCTTATTTTTATTTAGAACACCTATTTTATCAACCTAGAGCCAAAAGGGTCATTCAACGTCTAGGCTTATCTTTGTAGAGAGAGAGCAATTTCAATTGCGGTCAAAGTAGATTGTGGGGATGTTAAATGCAAAGTTACGAAGAGAAGATTGAAAATTATTTATCTATTACAATTATTGAATTTGGAATTATATTTCTTAATTCTTAATTAATCTTCTGAAAGAAGAATGGTCAGAAAAAGGTTATGTCATTACTTATTGTGCTCATAATTATATTGTAATGTACTGCACTTATCTTTTGCGCCCTCCTTTTTTTATCTACCTTTATGGTTYCGCTCAGTACGATTTACAGTACGGTACTTCATACGACCGGAAAAACAAGAATCGTTCTCTAAGCGCGTGAAAAATTCGAACCTGCCAAATTCGTATGCTCTTGAGTCTCATATCTACGGTACCGGACAGGTATACGCAAAATGCAACTAAATTTCATTATCATAATTGCCTTAAAGGCAACGAAAATTCCTACTACATAACCCTATGACCCCCTAATAGCCGTATACTCACAACCATACTTCTATTTTTGAGACCGTATTGCTTTTTTTCTACAGTAATTTTCTACTGGGTATGGTACTYCTTTTTCTTGCCTACCAACCATTCAGTAGCTTTTTAGTTGCATTTTCAACTGTTGAATACTGCAGCAGAATGCAATAATACAACAAAAATTGGTCATATCTTGATTAAGGGGAATGACCCAATGCAACTCAGTATACTCAGTATGGAGGTGCAAACTAGCAAGCAATTTGATCACTATTTCCTGCCAAAAAAAGGACACGGAKGAGCTGCTGATACGGAGGCTCACTGATACGGAGATGCTGATGCGGAGATGCTGATACGGAGGAGGCTTCCCCTGATGCGGAGGCTTCTGCTGATAAGGCGTCYGCTGATGCGGAGGCTTCTGCTGATACGGAGGAGCCAGTGATACAGAGGCTCGCTGATACAGCAGTGTCCGCTGATACGGTGTCCGCTGATACGAGTCGCTGATATGAGTCGCTGATACGGAGGATGCTGATACGGAGGACGCTCGCTGATACGGTGGTGTCCGGTGGCAATACAGAGGACGCTCACTGATACGAAGGCTTGCTGATACGGAGGATGCTTATACGGAGGATGCTGATAAGGAGGACGCTCGCTGATAACGCTCGCTGATAATGCTCGCTGATACAGAGATGCTGATACGGAAGCTCCTGATACAACGTCCGCTGATACGGAAGCTCATGATACGGCGATATCGTTCACTGGTACGGAGGCTCACTGATACGGAGGATGCTCACTGATACGGAGGACGCTTGCTGATACGTTGTCTGCTGATAGGAATTGCTGATACGGTGTCCGCTGATA